GCGGTTCAGAACCAATAGGCTGATGGAACAGTGATTTCATCATCATCATGTGTGTGCAGTAGAAAAGAAATGCATACAGTATACTTCACTCAATGCACCCCACAGAGGGGTACTGCTCTGCCATTTGTGTGTGTGTGTGGGGGGGGATGTCAATTCCAGGCTATCAGAATTATTTCAGATAGTACAGAATTATTTCAGTTTCTGTACTCTGTTTTGCATATAAATGACCCATTTATTGTTTCATAGAAAGTTATGGTGATAATTATGACTTCTACTGCAAATATGCTTCATATTCATTGAAACTCTGGCAATGTGCTGCTTAGTTAACAACATTGGTTGGCTTTTTGCCTGTGTCTACTTGCCACAAACCCCTTGCTTTGAGCTTAGAACAAAGATTTGGCATTGGTCCTCTTGCTGATCTTTTGGGCAGGCTCAAAGAATCAAGCATATTTTCAACAGGACATTGCCATTGGAGGTGGGATGAAAGAACCATTATACCTTTATCCCCTCTGTAAACATGCCCTTCCAAGTAGATAAACTCTTGTGTACTGAATACTCCATTCCTGGTGCAATGTAGAAATTCCTCGATAAAAAACATCAGCAGAGGGAGAGTAACCGTTTTTCTATGTATGTCTTGTGATTTCAATAGTCAGGAAAACCTGTGACTATTGGAGGGATTTGGCCAGCATTCCCCACTCCTTACCCCACCTTGGCATGGTATGACAGAGCACCTGGAACTCATGCTTTGTGTGTCCATCTTTCACTGCTCCCCAGTTCTAACATACCTGGTGAGTACTACCTCATCCTCTGAATATGACGACTGTGTACATGATGAACACGTTGCAATGCTTTCCTGGGAGGATACAGGGACTGTATGTGCGAGCAGCATCACATTTGGCAACGACAGATTTGGACTGGAGGTACAGACACCCATTGTCACATAGTTGGGCCGTTTATGAAGGTAAACCGATTCACCTCTTCTGTTGACCTTGTAAAATGGTATTAAAGAAATAATGTTATTTCAAGAGCAGCTGAAACTTGCTATATTACTATTAGGATTCAGATGATAGCAAAGGAAGAGAAGAATTGAGAACAATGTGGACCTAAAGTTAGAAAATAATGATTTGATTTGTTAGCAGGGATAGTAAAATCAACTATTTATACAATTCTCTTTTGCATTTTCCTGTTTCTTTACATATTATTTTTGCTGTTCCTATGAGACAGGATCTGAGTGACTGTGGCTACTGTGAGATTTGGGGGAGTGCATATAGATTCCCTTTTGTTTGTGGGTCCTTGAAGACTGGATGCTCACTGGCGCTGGAGTGGGGAGATGGGCCCTGATAGTCTGTCCTCAAACAAAGGCAACCTCTAAATTAGTAAACTTCCCTTCAGTCTGGCCTCCACTGAACTGGGAGGGAGTTCCCAACCCTGGGCAGGGGACCATTCCTTAACAGAATTCTCTGGAATTACTGGGGGTCAAAAGAGCCAGTTTCGTGTAGTGGTTAAGAGTGGTAGACTGTAATCTAGAGAACCAGGTTGGATTCCCCACTCCTCCCGCATGCAGCCAACTGGGTGACCCTGGGTCGGTCACAGTTCTCTCAGAGCTGTTCTCTCAAGAGCAGTTCTCTCAGCCCCACCTACCTCACAGGACGTCTGCTGTGGGGAGAGGAAGGGAAGGTGATTGTAAGCTGCTCTGAGACTCCTTCGGGTAGTGAAAAGTGGGGTTTAAAAATGAACGCTTCTTCTTCAATAGAGATAGAGGAGTGGGAAACATGTTAGATGTGGTGGGAAGAAGAGAGCATTTCTATATGTTCTTTGGAGGCAAACGTAGAAAGGTGGGAAGGCAGGCAGGCCCTTGGGAGGGGTAGAAGCGAAGGAGAGAGCCACAGGGAAAGGCAACACCAGGCAGAGGAGATGGAGAAGGAGGTGGATGGTAGTGAAGAAACTACATATGCCCATGGAAACGCACACCCACCACGGGATGCATCTTGGACTAGAGCTTGGAGCACTCCAATAACACCTGAGCAGGACTGGGAACTATGAGGGGACTGGTTATCATCTAATTAGTTGTGGTTTGGGCAGGTGACATTAGCATTAAACCATTGCAGGAACTTTGTGAATAAACATCTTTGGGGATGGGTCCCTCTATAGTTGACATGCTCCTCTTGCTGGAGGGTGTCGTAACTACAAAATATCAGTGAAATAAAGTTCATTGTCTGTAGTGGCAGTGTCATAACAAGATAGGAGTCTATGGAAAAGTTCTAGGGAGGCACTTTATTCTAGTTATCTATGGCTGTTGTCACATGCAGTTCAGGGCAGTTCTGTGACTCTTCCCAGCTATAATAATACTAAGATTCTTGTGGTCCTCTAAGGGCCATTTGCTGATTACAAAACAAACAATGGAAGTGTGAGTCATTTACTCATCTGATTTCACTGCTTCAGTTATGATTGGACCTGATGAATACTCATCAGAGGATGAGGACACTAGGGTGGTTGATACTAGGGAGGACAAAACTATGACCAGTTTTTTTTGTTTTTTTTAAAGAGGTGCTGGAATTCTTAATAGGGAAATGAAGCTTTTATTCTGAAAACTCACAAACCTTTAAACATTTTTAAAAGAATGTTGTCAAAGAGGTTCCGAAACTCCATTCTGGCACATTCCCCCAGAAAAAAGCCCTGACTATGGACAGACCCTGGAGGTACTTGGGCCCTTGGATCTCCAGGAGGCTGTAAGGGAACTTGCAGTCAGCTCTGGCTACTGGGCCAGAAGTCCAGGAGGCTCAGGAGCAGGAGCAAGAGCCACCCCCAGAACCTGAGATTACCTCTAAATTTCTCAGGGAGACTCACTGGAAAGTTCCCGGGAAAAGGTGCAACTAGTACAGATTGCACAGATGGTGGTTTCTGCTGCTGTAGCATGGTCACCACAGCTGCAGTCACCTGAGCCAGTTGGGCCCACATTGTTTGGTTCTCAGCTGCAATGTCCTCCACCTGCAGTGTGTTGCGATTAAACTGTTGTGTTAACACCCAGGGACCCAAGCAGGAGGCACATTAAGGCAGGCACAACCAGCCCTGAGACCAAAAGATGACCATTGATAGCCTTCACCAATAGAGAGGCCACTCTAAAGGGCCAGAGAATCTGCTGAGGGACCCCTGAAGAGGAGTGGCCAATTGCTGAGGACCCTGCGGACCCCAGTAGCAGAGAAGACAGAAGCCTAGTCATAAGCACCGCTTAGATGGTGAAGTACACAACTAGCTGTCTGAGGCCTCTTTGCTGACCACAGGGCATCTGTAGACCCTGATCCACCATAAAGCTTTGCAGGAAGCTGCCTGAAGACTCCAGGCCACTGTTACAGTGGCAGGCACTCAGTCCTACAAATAATCTCCATTCAGTTCTGGTTATTGTGGGATTAACAGCTGTGCTAGTGCTTGTCTCATGTCTGGTCCCCGGGTGCCAACAGGACAACTTCACTTTGAGATATAAATAGGGCAAAAACCACAGGATACAGCATGGCACAGCTGTTTCTGCTTCTGTGTTTTATATGGAAAGATAATATTTGTATATACAAAGATGGATGTGAGCTTGTATTCATGGAACAAAAAGTGGAAATTAGTCAAAAATCTTTAGTCAAAATCTTTATTACAGTCCATGACCAGAATAATAAAATTAATGATAAAAGCAACCAAAATATAAAATACAACAAATCATGTTGCTAGTACCTGACAACAAGGAGAAACACTAACTTACAAAGTGGAAATTAAAAGCTTGAAAATGAGAAAGTAAATTTTTAGTACAATATGAACTCATGCTCTGCTAGTCTAACAACCTTTCTCTAAGCTGATTACCTGAATAAAGTTGCTCTCAAATACTGGAACTGATTGCAAGGGAAGATACTCTCCTCTATCAAGAATTTTTTGAAGATCTCCCATTATAAGTAGCTAACTTGCAGATTGTCCGTTTGGTGAGGTTCCTAAAAACTGGTCACTTATTAGCCTAAACACAAGACAAGAACAAAATGACATGGGAAAGAAACCAACACAGGGAAGAATCTGCTGATGGGAGAAAGTGCGGTAATAGTCTATCTGAGAGTACTATGGAGAATTAAGGGGAAGAAAAACAGATATTATAATTTCTAATCGTTTCCAATTCTTGCCAAGTGGGTAACTAACATACAGGAGTTGGGCTTTTGTAGATAACATTCTATGGAGTTTTCCTGAAGGCTATTACAGGTGTATTAATTTAAACCTTTTAAAATTTCATAGTTCTTAGTTCAAAATGATTCCGAAGGTGTTTTCCAGGATATTAAAAAAAAGAAGAAGCTAAAATGCAATAGAACCATTAATACAAGCAACAGGGAACAAGCATAAAGAGTTGATAATTAAAAAGATTAAAAAGTCAAATATAATAAAACCAGCAAAATAATGAAAACATCAATTGAACAAAAGCCAGATGAAGAAAAACTACTTTTAAGTTTCCTCAGAGGAAAATAATTGTTTTTACCTGATGCCGAAAACAAGACTGGCTAGGCACCAGTCAAATTTCTGTGGGGAGGCAGTTCCAGAGGCAAGATGCTACCACCTGGGTGGCTCAATCTCTGGTAGATAAAAAGCTTACATCTAACAGTGGGGCCACACAGAGAAAAGCCACTCCAGAAGATCTTTCTTTCAGAAATTCAATAAATAAATAAATAAACCGTCAGACAGGAATATATGGGAGTATATGGTCCTATACTATTTAAGGCTTTAAAGTAATAACTGGCATTTGACTAGAAACTGACATGAAGTCAAATTAATTTTTCAGTACTGGCAGTCTGACTTGTTGCATTTTGCATTAACGGAAGTTTTCAAACAGTCTTCAAGGGGAGCCTCAAGTAAAGCACATGGCAATAGGCCACTCTGGGTATAATCAGAGCATGGACAAACATCTTACTTACCAAGGGAAGGCCACAGATGAACAAAGGCACTATGAGTTACAGAACAGATGTGAGTCAGTAAAATCTTAGCCATGTCTCTAACCTAGCAATGCGCATTTTTACAAGGAGTCATGAACAAGTATGAGGAAGATACCAATAAAGAGGGAGATGTAGGTCTAGCAGCTTTCCAGCACTTTTGAGGAAATTCACCTGTCCCTTTAGGGTTGTGGTGAAGGCTTGACTGGTGGAGATAATTGTTATGGAATGCATACATTCAGAGAGGAGCCCCTTGTACTGTCACAAGGGTTTTCATATGTATCTTGGACGTAGCTTAGCTAAGTGATGTCAAAGATAGTGTTCACTGCCTCTTAGAAAGACCAAGGCCTGCATCAACTTTATACCAAGCTGGAAACACCAGCTCAGCAGGTGATCTAGTCAGCTGGTTTGGCCTTTAGCCTGATTACCTTAAAGGATAACTGAGGAGAAATTATCATAAATAAATAAAAAATAAAATATGCTTTGATTTCAGCTAATGATTAATAATCAAAAGCCAAACTGAGCAGATAAAGACCATTACTGGAGTTCTAGCCTTGCTCCTGACCTCTAACTGGCCATCCATGCCACTGAGCTTTCTATAAGGAGGGCTATTTAGTGCCAACAGTCCTACTTCTGGGCAACATCACTGATTGTCTCTTGGGGCTAATCCATATGTAGGTTTATGGCTTCAATCCTAAAAACACTTTCCTGGGAATAAGCCCCTTTGAGTAAAATGGGACATACTTCTGAATAGAACTGCTTAGGATTGCTCCCTTTTTTTTTTTTTGCAACTGCCAACTTTCCGGTGAGAACTGTTTCAGCAATGGGGAGGTTCCCTGTGATAGTGGATGACTCTTTATTCAATCTGCCCTAATCTCTCAATATCTCTCTCTCTCTTGTGAGGTGGTAATTGTGTGTTAATTTCTTGCTGAAGACACGGTATTAGAAGTGTGGTTGGCTGTTATCAGGGAACAGGTTTTAGACATGTTAAAGAGTAATCATGCCATCAGTTTAAAGGATGTGATGATGAAGGCTCTTTTGGGAAAAAAAAGAGAAACCCCTCAGTGTTTTTGATATGAGGGATCTCAAATCTGTTTCTAATGCCCCCCTTTTTTAAAATGGTCAAGCAAGTAAAGCATGCTCAAGCAAGTAAAGGCAAATCAGCTACAGGTACATCTTATTCTAGATTCATTTCATTTTGGCTTCAAGCTGGGTACTGAACTGCCTCAGCCACCTGGCTGACAATCTCTATCAGGAGGCAGACCAAGGAGTGTGACGTTGGGAGTATGACCTCATTGATTTTTGTAGACTTCTTACTGGCTTTTGCTACTTTTGACAACACTGGCTTTTGCTGCTATTGAATTGGCTAAAGGATGGGAAAACTGGAGGCACTGTGTCATGGCTGTCTTGCTTATTGGGGAGATTCAGTGGTTGTGGGGATTGTTTTGCCTCTTGATGGGAACTTACTTGTGGAATCCAAGTATAGTGATGAAAATACCTATCTTAGAGGGGGTTACATCTATCTATCTAATTCCCAACTTGCCCCCGGAGTGCGGATCGCTAAATCAGCGCTCCGGGGGCAGCTGGGGGGGCGGGGGAGGTTTGTGTACACGTGGGCCAGTCCCCACATGTGCACAAAAATACAAAAAGTTGAAAAAAAATTCGGGGGGATTTAAAATCCCCCCGAAAGTGCAAGAGCGTTCTGTGCGCACGCGCACAGAACGCTCTGCTGCCGGCCTCGCCGCAGCCGCTTCGGAGCCGGCGGTCTGGCCGGCCAGGCAGCCAGCCGGAGCCCAGCGAGGCCCGGGCGGCTACAAGCTGCCGGGCGTCGCATCGGAGGGGAGGGGAGGGGGAAGAGACGAGCGGCCCAGCGGCAGGAGCCGCCAGGGCTCGCTTCGGAAGAGAGGGGGAGGAGGGGGGAGAGATGAGCGAGGCCCAGCAGCTGCAGCCACTGGGGCTCGCTATGGAGAGGAGGGGGCGGGGGAAAGACTGCTGATGGGAGAAAGTGCGGTAATAGTCTATCTGAGAGTACTATGGAGAATTAAGGGGAAGAAAAACAGATATTATAATTTCTAATCGTTTCCAATTCTTGCCAAGTGGGTAACTAACATACAGGAGTTGGGCTTTTGTAGATAACATTCTATGGAGTTTTCCTGAAGGCTATTACAGGTGTATTAATTTAAACCTTTTAAAATTTCATAGTTCTTAGTTCAAAATGATTCCGAAGGTGTTTTCCAGGATATTAAAAAAAAGAAGAAGCTAAAATGCAATAGAACCATTAATACAAGCAACAGGGAACAAGCATAAAGAGTTGATAATTAAAAAGATTAAAAAGTCAAATATAATAAAACCAGCAAAATAATGAAAACATCAATTGAACAAAAGCCGGATGAAGAAAAACTACTTTTAAGTTTCCTCAGAGGAAAATAATTGTTTTTACCTGATGCCGAAAACAAGACTGGCTAGGCACCAGTCAAATTTCTGTGGGGAGGCAGTTCCAGAGGCAAGATGCTACCACCTGGGTGGCTCAATCTCTGGTAGATAAAAAGCTTACATCTAACAGTGGGGCCACACAGAGAAAAGCCACTCCAGAAGATCTTTCTTTCAGAAATTCAATAAATAAATAAATAAACCGTCAGACAGGAATATATGGGAGTATATGGTCCTATACTATTTAAGGCTTTAAAGTAATAACTGGCATTTGACTAGAAACTGACATGAAGTCAAATTAATTTTTCAGTACTGGCAGTCTGACTTGTTGCATTTTGCATTAACGGAAGTTTTCAAACAGTCTTCAAGGGGAGCCTCAAGTAAAGCACATGGCAATAGGCCACTCTGGGTATAATCAGAGCATGGACAAACATCTTACTTACCAAGGGAAGGCCACAGATGAACATAGGCACTATGAGTTACAGAACAGATGTGAGTCAGTAAAATCTTAGCCATGTCTCTAACCTAGCAATGCGCATTTTTACAAGGAGTCATGAACAAGTATGAGGAAGATACCAATAAAGAGGGAGATGTAGGTCTAGCAGCTTTCCAGCACTTTTGAGGAAATTCACCTGTCCCTTTAGGGTTGTGGTGAAGGCTTGACTGGTGGAGATAATTGTTATGGAATGTATACACTCAGAGAGGAGCCCCTTGTACTGTCACAAGGGTTTTCATATGTATCTTGGACGTAGCTTAGCTAAGTGATGTCAAAGACAGTGCTCACTGCCTCTTAGAAAGACCAAGGCCTGCATCAATTTTATAACAAGCTGGAAACACCAGCTCAGCAGGTGATCTAGTCAGCTGGTTTGGCCTTTAGCCTGATTACCTTAAAGGATAACTGAGGAGAAATTATCTGTTCTGAAACATGCAGTTGATATGCTTTGACTTCAGCTAATGATTAATAATCAAAAGCCAAACTGAGCAGATAAAGACCATTACTGGAGTTCTAGCCTTGCTCCTGACCTCTAACTGGCCATCCATGCCACTGAGCTTTTTTATAAGGAGGGCTATTTAGTGCCAACAGTCCTACTTCTGGGCAACATCACTGATTGTCTCTCGGGGCTAATCCATATGTAGGTTTATGGCTTCAATCCTAAAAACAATTTCCTGGGAATAAGCCCCTTTGAGTAAAATGGGACATACTTCTGAATAGAACTGCTTAGGATTGCTCCCTTTTTTTTTTTTTGCAACTGCCAACTTTCCGGTGAGAACTGTTTCAGCAATGGGGAGGTTCCCTGTGATAGTGGATGACTCTTTATTCAATCTGCCCTAATCTCTCAATATCTCTCTCTCTCTTGTGAGGTGGTAATTGTGTGTTAATTTCTTGCTGAAGACACGGTATTAGAAGTGTGGTTGGCTGTTATCAGGGAACAGGTTTTAGACATGTTAAAGAGTAATCATGCCATCAGTTTAAAGGATGTGATGATGAAGGCTCTTTTGAAAAAAAAGAGAAACCCCTCAGTGTTTTTGATAAGAGGGATTTCAAATCTG